CGCCGTAGTGGAGTATGGATGGATGGATGGATGGATGGATGGATGGATGGATGGATGGATGGATGGATGGATGGATGGATGGATGGATGGATGGATGGATGGACGGACGGACGGATGGATGGATGGATGGACGGACGGACGGACGGACGGACGGATGGATGGATGGATGGATGGATGGATGGACGGATGGATGGATGGATGGATGGATGGATGGATGGATGGATGGATGGACGGATGTATGCATGGATGGATATGGCTGTACCCTTTAGATCGGGCGGTGGCTAGCGCCACCAAGCCGTAATACTTAATGAACCCAAAACTATATTTTTTTTCCCTTAAAAAGTGAGTTTGAGGATTCGTACTTTGCAGTGAAGAGTTTAATTTTCACTCGTGCCTTGACTTTAGCCACCAATAAGATAACCTCCTACTAGTTAAGTCTACTTGCTTAAAGTCTATTTTGCCCTCCCAGTCCCTAAACCCCAGTGCTTTGAAAAACTCTGCGCCATCATCCTGAACTAGAGGGTGAAGCCCTTTACAGAGGGCTCCGGAAATTTCGCACCACCTGGGGTTCGTTAACGCGCACCCAAATCTGAGCACACGGACCTACAACATTTCCTCCTCCATCGGAAATGCAGCCACCGCAGCCGGGACTGGATCCTGCGACCTGCGGGTCAGCAGCTGAGTACCTTAGCCACTAGACCACCGCGGCGGGGCCAGACGTTTACGCGCGTAAAATTACGTTGTTGAACTACCCAATCGAGCCGACGTCCTGTCGTGGACAGTTTGAATACGAACAAACTAACTCAAACACGTTCTTTTACATTTGTTTGCGCCGCTAAGTTGAGAATGTCGGGCAAGATTTCGGCTCGCACTCTTGGAGCCAAGCAATATTTTGCAACCGCGTAACTAACGTTGTCTAGGGCCATCGCTTGCGGGAGCTATTGCGCTCGGTAATTTCCGGTTCGCGTTTCACATACCTCCAACTGAATACATAGGCGCCTACGCAAATCACGCCTTAAAGGATCCCAAGTTCGTTTTGGGAATAGAACCATCTTAAATCGCATTTCTTCCGCGAACATTTGTTCGGAGGAATAACCTCCCCGAGGAAACTGCCTCAGCCAACCACTTGGCATTTTCGTCCGCGCTTCAGCATTTTACAATATGGCTTCGTGGGCAGTTTCGAGAAAAACTGGTTGTTATTTGATTTTCCCATTATGAAGGCTGGACAGCCTTTTGCCTTGTTCTAGCTTTTAAACCCTGCATGTCAGAGGTGCTGTGTGCTTATTTCTAAGCATTGACTGATTGATATGTGGGGTGTAACGTCCCATAACCACCATATAAATATGAGAGACGCCGTAGTGGAGGGGTCCGGAAATTTCGACTACCTGAGGGTGGTGACGGCCACTGCACCACCCCGCGTTGAAAGACGAGAGGGTGATTTTTTTCCTATCCTTCATACACACGATGCATCATCCTCGCCCCTTAGTTCTTCAATGCACGTGAAGAACGGGGAGCTTTAGAATAACGTTTGCAGGCGCTACGGGCATAGCGGGCACAATACGAGTTTTAGAATAACGTTTACCCCTCCCGTTTACCCGTCCACAATCTATATGGACTTCAGCTGTTCCGCAAACTCAAATGCACGGAAACTATACACATTGCCTCGACACCAGCACTTCGCGGGCCTCGCGGGTGGCGATCGCCGCACGCTACTTCGGATTTTCTGCGGGCCGCGAACAGTGCCTCGCGTTACGACGCATGCGCAGTGGCAGCGACCGCACCGCAAGGGCTCGCGGTGCGCTATTCTAAAACTCCCTAATATCAGCACTAAGCGCTAGAGCCTATCAGGATGTCGCGCTTCTCGGCTGCACGCTTTTATCGCCGCATAATGAAGTTTCATCGGTTGATTGTGCACGACATTCAAACGAGACGAAGTGAAACGGATCGGCGGGTGCATGGCAAAGCAGTGCAGGAGACAAATCGCATGTGTTATTTCCCGTATATTGATGGATGGATGAATATGGCTTTAGATTGGGCGGTTGCTAGCGCCACCAAGCGAATCAACGAATCGAGAGCATGCACGCTGTAGACGTGACAGAAACTACTGTCTGCGTCACAGTAGTGCGCCAAGAAGGACGAGAAATATCAAGAGAGAATATTGCGCTCTTTTTTTGTGTTTTGGGAGCCTGGTGAGTGGCTCTTTAGCGTGCAACCAAATCTGAGCATTACTTCTAAGCATTGTGCTGTGAACATCAAGTTTGTTTAGTGCGTACATAATTTTATTACCTCTAGTTTCTTTTGATGTCCCTTAAACAAACTAGGGAATCAACAAATAAGGAAATAAATAAACAAGTAAGCAAATAAATAAACAAAGTGTAGCCCCCGTTTTTGTATTGTTCCGTCGTTATAAAGATGGATGGCCTTAAAGTGCTCGTTTTACGCATGTAAATACGGCATATACAGACCACAAAAACTTTGCCCCCACACTCTTTCTATTGTTTTTTCTTCAAAAATAAATGCGTTGCAGGCGTTATTTCGACCTTGTTTTGTAGTTACACCTGCTGACGAAGCTGAACTGTTTTTGTGAAGCTAAACGTGCGTTAACCAGGACGGACTCTTACCGTCTCGCGGAATTGTGGAGTGGTGTGAGGCTGATTGTGGAGCACCGCACATTATGGAGCAAACCTTCTCTTTGATTAGCTGGCGTTGCGCCGATAGATAGACGATGGGAAAGTATTATTACTTTTAAGTAATGCGTAAACAGGAAGTTTGCCTGTATCGAGTTATCGTAGCCGAACCGCCACCTTTCCGGTCAGTGAATAACGAGTATCGGGGTAACTTCCTCCGAAACATATCTCGAAATCCCCGCGTCATGGCTTTCGCCGTGCCTCGTCAAGTGGCGCCATCTTGACGCACCCTCTGCAGTGATTCCGGCCAACCGAGGTCGCTGTGGGCGCTGCCCGCGCAATGAAGCTCTTGGGTGGGCGCGCTGTCAGTCTGCGTGCTCCCGCCGCTTTGTCGCGCGCTTTTGACAGGCGCAGCTGCATCTACGTCACCGTGACAGGGGCTCCTGCGTGTTTCCCGCCTGTCAAACGAGAAGTAAAACGGCGTTGTTTGTAATCTTCTGTCTTCATACGTCTGTGTGGCGGCGATGTAAGGGCCGGGTGTGTTCAGTTATCATTTCTTTTTTTCTTTCTCGCACCCATATAGCTGAGCCATATCCACTGCACCCGGTTACGCTAAACCCATGTCTATCTTTCTATTATTTTTTTTTATTTTTATCCTGATCGCTAAAGCCGCAGCCTTCGGGGAACGGAGCAAGTATTGAGCGTAGGAGGCCTCGATTTCGGCGGATTTCTCGGCTATACGCGACGCCCGATTCGCTCTCGCTTCCGGATTCCTGATCGGCCGCCTTGTTCCGCGCCCGTTTCCGCCCCTGCTTTATGTTTTGCCTGGCGTTGTGGGTTTTGCCGCACTACGCCACGGCGAGGCAACGGTGCACCCTTTACAGGGCGTGGTGAAGCGATGCATTGGTTGGCGGTGTGCGTGGAACACTCAAGTTAGCTCAGTTTCCAGGGTGGGGGGGGATATGAAAGGACGGATTTGAATACACAAAGTACGTGTGTCTGTGAGAAGTGCTTTTCATCCTCCGTAATAATGTATCTGCTCTACCTGTTGTAACTGTTCGCTCTAACGCTGTTGTAGGCACGTGAGCTCAGATTTGGGGGCACGTTAAAAGAACCCCAGCTGGTCAAAATTTACGGATCCCTCCCCAACGGCGTCTCTCATAATCATATGGTAGTTTTGAGACGTTAAACACCACACATCGATCCATCGCTCTAACTTTACGTAAGACAATTTCCACGAACGCGGGCTCATGTTTCTCGCACATTTCGATGTAAGCAATTTGACCTGAAGTTTCATTCTTTTATTCACTTTTGTTTGTCATCAAAAAATTCATGGATTCAGTATCTGTAAATAACATTCTATCGCTCATAACAGCCTTACGCAAGGAAAAAATGTTACTGCATGTTTGAAACTTTATAATTTACTGGCTTTTTTGTATAATAATGTTATCTGAGGTTTTAACGTCCTTAAGTAACATATGATTAAAAGGGACGTTGTAGTGGAGGACTGCGGAAATTTTGACCGCCACGGTAGGGATCGAACCGGCGACCTTTGGTTCAGCAGCCGAGAACCCTAGCCACTGTTCCACCGAGGCAGACAGGCATGTTCCATCTTCGCGTCCAATGACTGCTCATATTTTTGCTTGGCATCACTGGCGAAAGGTCGCTGTTTGTAAAGAGCACATACTTGTTTTGCTGCATTTGAATGGCAGCAGATGTCGACGAAGCATCATCGTGACCAACGTCGAAAGCGATGTTTGATTTTTTACCCAGAAAAAAAGTGATAAACACGAGAAACAACTTGGTTTATAGTGACCGTACATACTTTTTTTTTCACTAAAAGCGTTATATCGAAACACACAATATTCTGTCGCGATTCAATGCTTGGATAGATTTCGTCGACACTACGTTACTACGCTGGCTATAAGCAATAATCTCGAAAAAGAAACAAAAGTTACCTGCGTAGTGCCGTATCAAAAGCCTTAAAAGCAACGAATTGCAAAACTTCACGCGCGATAGCGTCATTGCGAGAAAACCGGCACATCGCACTCGCGTTCTAGGAAACCAGCTGTTCCGGCAGCCCCGGGCTCCGGCTCGGGTTGGCGCAGAGGTCTGGAAACACTGTTCTTAACAATGCTCAGCGACCTCTCACGGTGACACTAGAAACCAAACACGGATGGAGGGAACGAAACAGCGGGCCGCCGAAGGCACTCGCCTTCGAAGAAAGTTGTAGCGGCGGCGCTAGCGTCAGCGCGTTCGACGCCGCTAGCCGGCGCCAGCGGCGACAGCTGTTCTCGCGTGAGCCCGCGAGAGAGTCGCCGTCGTCGTCGCAGTTTTTGTGCTCCCCCGCGGGCGTTACCATGGCGACCGAGCTGTCAGGGTGAGGAGTGGTGGGGGTGAAACCCGTGCCAGCGATGGCGCCCGACCGCCTGCGCTGCGAGCCCGGACCGCCCTGACCTGGACGGGGCCAGAGGTGAGTGAGCTTGCCGGCGAGCCCTGGGTCCGGCCCGCGGGCCCCGAATTCACAGCCAGCGCGCGAACGCAGCCCCTTCGCGAGACGAAAAACCGCGGCGCAGTGGCTTTCCCCCAAGCCTCCCTCCGGCGCTCGAGCTCGGCGTTCGAGTCGCCGCCGACGACAGCAGCGCTGTACGCCGCCGCGCTCTCTCTCGCCTCAGCCACACACGCACGCACCGCGCCGCACTCGACTCCGATCGTGTCGGCGGCGCGCTGAAAACAAGCCGCGATCCGACGACCCCCCCTTTCCGGTTGATCAGTCGCATCCCGTTACGTTTGGCCGACCGCTTTCCATCGGGACGTGTTATACGTCCAGCCAGCCAACTAAACACAACTGGTCGCGGAGGCGCAGTGTTGCTACAATAGCGCTACAGAAAACGTGCGGCGGCGCTCAAGACCCCTCGGTGTGGTCGCGCGCGGTTCCCGCTACTATCGGCGCATTTCTTTCTTTTTCAATTTTTTTCTGGGCTGCGTATGTTTTTTTTCTGCCGTTGCCGAGCTGTCGACGCACTCTCTTCCAACTGTTCGGGATGGCTCTCGCACTTTATTTGCCAACGTTGCGGGCAAACGACATTCGTAATAAACGATGAAATTGTACACACTGAATGAATGTATAGAACCTCTCGCCGCCGTGCTCTGAAAGGATTGGGCGCTCGTCGATGCCAAGCGTCAATCAAAAAAAAAAAAAAAAAACCCTGTGACTCCAAAGATTCGCAACCAACTGCATCAAGCCACCCGTTTTAGTGGAGGCATAACCGCACGATATGACTTCGACGTGACGGTAGTCTATTCGCGACGTTTTCACTTGAAATTATAACCGATATTGCGGTAGCTGGTTCATTTCGACGACTCTAAACAATGTACGGAAGAATGCAATAGGACCGCGAGCTCATAGCTGAGTCGTGCAGGCTTTGAGTAATGAGCGCTGCCTCTAGGTCGGAAAGGGTTGCTCCCCGGCACGACCGTCAACTTGCGAGGGCTGACCGGCGGTTTCGATTTGGTCAGTCTACGCAATTTGGTGAGGCTGCGTTACTTCTCCAATGTTCCGTGTTAGCCGTAAGACCGCAAACGAATCTATAGCTGCCTAACTCGAACAGCCGTTCTGTAAGGATTTACACTAAAGCCCGACGGCTTCACGATTCGGAGTACCTATCGCCGAGTTTCCACGGACTTTCTCCTCGCTTTATGCCTAACTCGGTGCGCTTCGCAATGCACCCGGGTCTCCGTATTCACGAGACGCATCTTTCGTATGCGCTAATATATTTCATCGAACCACCGGCTTTCGTTATCAACACCTCTGGCGTACTAGAACTGGCTAGGATGTGCCCTTACGAAAACAATTTTAGCCTGAGAGATCGCTTGTAGATGCTGGAACGCTGGTTTGAAAGGCGGCGAAATCTCCTCGCTTCTTCCGTACGTGAGACTTAGATGCTCCGATGCTTCGTAGGCGTTTATTTTTTTTTTCCTCTCTCTTTTTGTCATGACTGAATCTTGGTATGTCCACACGTTTTTGTGATTTTCCCCTGCGGCTCTGCAAAGTAAAATAAAAAGGTGAAAACGTATACTAAAAAATCGCCCCCCACTCAAAAAAAAAAAAAAGATACGCCAAAGAATGCCGAAAAAAAGTTGACGTGTAAAAATATCTTGTTATCGTCCGCGTGTCTTTTCTTTTTTTTTTATTTCCACACTTGAGTTCTGGCAGCGAATTTTGCCCATTATTTCAGTATTCGGGCGAGTGTGTCCCGTTGCCACCTTGTACGCTGCACGCGGTTATTGTGCGTGTGTTCTGAATCGGTGTGTCTGCGTATACAATGGGCTGGAGCATTTGAGTTTGACATTTGAACTGTGTCTTTTGATGCGGTAGTTCTTTGAATCCGCCTGTCAACTTGGTGACCTCCCCTCCCCCCGTTTTCCACTGAAACACACACACACAGAAGCACGTGTTTTCGTTCTTTTTTGTTTTGTTTCTGGCGAACTGCATGTTGTGAATATTGCCTTCCCTAAACGCAGCTGCCTAAGGACACTTTTCGCTCTGCAAGTCGTGCAATACATCTTTGATTAGTTTCACAAGCTCTTCGCCAGCCTTACACGAAGCCGGAGGTTTTTAGCATAGGGTGAAAAGATTATCGATACTTCAAGCGTTACGTATCAAGCAATAGATCATGAAATACCTAACACATCATTCACGACTTCAGTGGCTGCTGGATTATTGTTTAGTGTATTTAGCTCTGCGCTGCTTCTGACTTTCTTGAGGGCCACATGCTTGAACGAAACATTATAAATAATGCACTTCACGTGTGTGGCTGTATGAGTTATGTGTTCATCTCTGTATATATCATAGTTATCACTCAGTACCTGGCGTAGCATGTCAGGTGAAAAGCCAGACAAACATCTCCAGCTCTCTCTCTCTCTCTTATTGCGTTCAACGGCCCTAGTGAGGTGTAGTACTGCTATCCATACGAAATGCACTTCAGCGCGCGTTTAGGTTTTTCGGTGTATGCTGTAGTCTTGGCGAACCTCAGCAGTCAATAAGCCGTGTTTTTATGGGCCGCGGTCTCGTGTAAAATATGTTTACAAATCGGTGACAATCAAACGTTGCCGCTAAGCTCTCCTCGTGGGGTTTTTAATGCAGAATTGTTTAACGAGCTGTTTGTAGTTTACAGGGTTGCTCGTATTTATCATATTGCGTTGTTAACGAACATATCTGGTAAACATGTTTTGCGTGAGTGCATCAAAAAGTATGTGTAAGCATTACACCAACAGTAAGCTGTGTAGCCATGCGTGTATGGGATTCTAGCCATGGAGGTATTCTTCAAACGGCGTATAGATAGCGAGTACGCTTAGCTCTCCTGCTTATTTGTTTTCTTATTTCTTCTTGTTATTTCTTGTTTCTGTTGTTTTTCTGTGCTTTTCCAATGCTAATATGACGATCAGGTGTATAACCGGCTCTAACTTGGCCTACCTTCCCATTTTTCTCACATATAACTAAATAATAATAATCATAATGTCTACGAAAATCACATGATCCGCATGCGTCCTTCTTGAACACCGAGCACTACACTTCAACGCAAAAATTTTTCACGGGAGTAAACTTGTTTGTGTTATCTCACGGCACTCTTTTTTACCTGCCACTTTTTGACTGCTGAAGTACTGCTGTTCTGGCAATGTTTTTTTTCCTCTCTCTCCTAATGCGAAGATGGAGCGCAATTCGTAGAATCGAGTCGTGATAAGCTTCAAAGTTTAAGTATAGTGTCGTACAAATGTCAGAATTTCGGTTTCAAAATTTTAAAACCGTAATTTGTTGTGTCGTATGCGAGAAACTAATGACATACAGGAAACACTCTCATCAGGAATCTGTAGCAATTGGCAAATACGTGTAAAAAAATGAAATACAGCAAGGAATTCCACGTAGCAGGGATGAAAGTTAACAAATACTAAAATATAAAATATAAGATGTATTAAAGATATGAAAGTTAACAAAAGTTTGGCCTTTTTGCCGCTACGGTTCCAGTGACTTGTACAGTACGCCGAGGCACAAACTTTTGTGGTAATCATTCGCTTTCGTTGTAATTTCGTTTTCTTTTTGCGTTTCAACTGTGTGTTTCTTAATCAAGAATACATTGCCTCTAGTAGATTAGCAGTTTGTTATAGTAGTTTTTGTATTTTTTTATTTTTCTCTCAATTTGGAGGCTCACACCTAAAAGGTCGTGTGCATGTTTACACCTCTATAATTAATCTATATTTAATTAGAAAATCTTTCGTAATGAACAGTGCTTTCAAACGTAACCGAAGCTTCGGTTAACCGGAGTTTTTTGGAAAGTTGTGCTCCAGTAAACCAGCAAATTTTTTTTTAATAAACTTGCGATCAGCTGGTTCGAAGAACTGGGATGCGCAAACGAACCAGTTGCGCAGTTGCGTGGTTCCGTTCGCAGCATTCGTCAAGATCAACTTCGTGAACGGACGTGAATACGTAGGATGTGCAAGAGGCCGACATGGACGTTTATCCTCCAAGTACTCGATAAACAATACAAGAAACTATAGTGCACGTTCGACGTGGAGAAAGCGAAAACGGACATAGACCCTTAAGCCATAGAGTTTCCTATAAGTACAATAGAGGAAACTCTGGCGTTAGTGTCTATGGGAACTGCCACGCACGCCGCTTCAGCCAGCATGGGTAGTACACGAATTTTTCCAGTCTTCGTTCGTTCGGTTCCGTTTAGCTTTGCTTGACTGGAGTCACAGTTGTCCCGAGGCGAGAGGGAGCAAATGTTCAGCAGTTGCACTTCACCACCTCTACCTTTTAGGCTACCCGATTCAGATCTGGTCACGAAGTTCACAATGGCTCGTTTTTTTTATTCAAAACCAACACTGAAACACAGCATTAAACAGAGTCACAAGTGTGTTTGAAGCCGCAAGCACGACTACTATAGGCAAATCCGTGGGCTATCCGTCGTTTAAATGGTCGCTGATAAAGTCCCTCTATCTCTATATATATAGGGACCTTAGTCGCTGAACGATCGCAGCGCCAGAGTCAGCTCTGGTTAATTTCAAAAAACTCTATGGCTAGTGCGTTCCCTTAAGACAACTCCAAGGCGAAAGCTGTCTTCTTTTCCCTCTCAACCGATGTACTGATGCTGCCCCGCCACCCATCGAGAGTGTTCTGCACCTGCAACGTGGCTTTGCGCGACCTCCGAAGTCGGTGGCACCTTACCTGGTTTTGCATGGCCTCTGTGATCTTACCACCTTTGGCCAAGACGGGATTAGGGTTGATGACGTCATCGTGATGACGTCACTGTGACGTCATGTACCTACGTTATCACGTGAAGAGTATTTTTCGCATCACTCATCCACGACGCTGTGGGGACGCCGACGGTTAAATTTTGTATTCGAAAATGCATCCAAGGGTTTTTCGCCTCAACAACTGAGTTTGCTAAATGCGAACTATATACCTTTGCAAGT